TGTTGACCCAGGGAGTCACATGGAGAGGACAGAAAAGAATGCCCTGTTACATGCTCACTTGCTCTCTTCATAAAGCCACCAGTCCACACCACGATAACCCATTAAACCATTACTCCATGAGTGGATTAATCCATTCCTGAGGGCGTAGTCCTCATGACCCAATCACCTCTTAAAGACTCAACATTTCAAATATCATAATCAAATTTCCCACCCTCTCAACACTGTTACAATGGGGATCAAGTTTCCAACACATTAACTTTGGGGGACACATTCAAACTACAGCAAGAGCACTGTGTGGAGAGGAGAGAAGACCTGATGAAACAGAGAATGCTGAGGCAGAGAGAGAGAGAGAGAGAGAGAGAGAGAGAGAGAGAGAGAGAGAGAGAGAAGAGACAGAGAGAAACCAGAGATCTCCAGGTGCTTCCCCTCAAGTCTTCAGCTGAGTACTAATCAGTGCCTGTGTGTGAGGAAACTACACAAGCCAGGAAAGGAACCAATGGAAAAGAAAAGGTAAGATAATCAGTGAAGTTCACAAAGGGCCAGGAATAGCTTGGATTTGTACCAGGCAGAGTGAAACATTGTTATTGATGGGAATTAGGTAGAATATTCAGAAGGGTTTTGCCTCATCAGTAGGGAAAATTTGCTTTAGACTGAAGGCTTCTCTGGTTCTACTTAACAAAACTTAAAAGTTTTGAAAGGATGAAAGTGTTTCCAAGTAACAGAACAAAGAACAAGGCTTAAGAATACACACACACACACACACACACAATCAAATAAGGTAGTATTCACAATGTCTGGCATCTAATAAAACATTTCCAGGCATGCAGTGATGCAGGAAAACCTGACCCATTATCAGGACAAAAGTATATTGGTAAAAATAGACCCAAAAATAGTAGATAAGGACATTAGATCAGCTTTATGATTTTATTCTATCCATTCAAAAAGGTAAAGGAAAATATGTTCATGTTAAGACATGGAAGATATAACAGAGATGCAAATCAAATTTCTAGACATGAGAAATATCAATGTCTGAGATGACAAACTGGATAGAATTAACTGCAGACACTAAAGAAGAAAAGATTAGGAAACTTGAAGGTACAGTAAACTCTCCAAAATGAAACACACAGAAAAAAAGCCTCAAGACAAAAGCATACAAGTCACCAGGAAACTGTGAGATGACTCCAAAAGGCTAATATGTAAAGTTGGTGTCCCTGAGGAAGAGAACAGAAATAAGGAGACAGATAAAGGTATTTGAAAAAATAATGGATGAAAAATTTCCCAGTTTTATGAAAACTATAAACTCAAAAATCCAAGAAGCTAAATAAACCCCAAGCACAAGATGCATAAAGAAAACTACACAAAGGTATATCATAAACTACCTAAAACTAGTGAAAAAGAGAAAATATTAAAATCAGGCCTGGCCAGTTAGCTCAGTTGCTTAGAGCATGGTGCTGATAACACCAAGGTTCAGGGTTCAATCCTGTACTGGCTAGCTGCCAAAAAAACAAAACAAACAAAAAACTAGAGACAAAAATGTCGCATGTGCAGAGAAATAAAGATTAGAATAATAGCAGATTTCTCTTTAGGGGCAAAATAAGACAGAAAACAGTAGACCAATATCTTAAAAGAACTAAAGAGGAAAAGAAAAAACTCACCTTAGAATTCTATATCCAGCTTTCAAAAATAAAGGCAAAATAAAGACTATTGAGAGACATATAAAGAATCGATCACCAAACTTTTACTGCAAGAAATGTTGAAGGAATTCCTTTAACATTGAAAATGATACCAGATGGAAATCTGGATCTATCCAAAGGAATAATGAGCACTGGAAATGGTAAATATCTAAGCAAATATAAATAACAAAATACTACTTTTTTCTTATTTTAAAAACATTTTAGGAAAATAATTGACTATTGAAAGCACAAATAACAACAATGTACTGCAGGGGTTATAACATATGTGGAAGGAATGTATGAGATGACAGTAGCACAAAGGTTGGGAGGGGGACAGAAGTCCACTGATGAAAAGTTCTTATATTTCAGTGTATGGTATCACGTTATTTAAAGGTAGACTGTGATAAGTTCAACATACATCCTGCAAGTTTAAAGCAATCACTAGTGTATTAGTCCATTTCTGTTGCTTATAACAAAATATCCTGAAAGTGAGTGATTTATAAGAAAACAAAATTTCTTGCTTACAGTTTCAGAGTCTGAGAAGTCCAAAGTTCAGGGAACACATCTGGTGAGGGTCTTCTTTGGTGGTGGATTTACAGCAACACAGGGGTCTCACATGACAGAAATGGCAGAGCAGAGACAGAGTGACTCTCACATGCTTCCCCTTTTAAAGCACTCAGAACCACATGCATGAACTAGGGCATGATCCTTACAATCTAATCACCTCTTTAAGGACCCACCTTTCAGTTATCATAATAGGATTTCCCACCCTCAACAGTTACAGTGGGGATTGAGCTTCAGTGATGTTGGGGGGGCCATTCAATCCACTGCAACTAAAAAAAAATTAACGTTTTAATTCAATGGTATAGCTAATAAGCTAACAAAATAAATAGAATTCAATCATAAAAAATACTTAATTACTCAAAAACAAAGCATAAAAAGAGGAAAAGAGGAACCAAGAACAGTTGTGACAGAAAACAAACAGTAAGGGGATAAACTTAAACCCAACCATATCAATAATTACATTATATGTAATGGTCTAAACACCTTAATCAAAAGGCACAGGTTGTAAAAGTGAATAAAAAAAGCAAGATCCAGATATATGCTGCCTACAAGAAAGCCACTTATATATGAACTTGTTCGTGCCCATCTCTGAAGACTGTGTCTGCCCTAACAGGCTGAAGCTCTAGCCCTTGCTTTTCTCAGCTTCTGAAAAGCCATAGCCTTTAGTGAAATGGACTTTACTAAAAAGTAATGTCAAATCTCACTGTGTCCTCTACAACAGACATTAAAATGCCATATTTTATCCCTAGTTCCTGGATTCTTCAGTTCTTAAAATGGCTAACGAACATTTTCAGGAAGCATTCCAACCTAGTGGTCTTATCAAATACCTGTTATGTATCAGATTGTGAATTACCGGAAACTGCAATTTGTGTCATGAATCTGATAATTCTTTTTTTCTCCTTTCCAACCCCAAAGCCCACCTTATTAGTTCATTCATTAATCTGTTTAACACATAGTTAACATTAAAAACCCAGCCACTATGCCAGATACATCATATACACAGGTTTACATTAGTGAAACAAACCAGTGTTTTTATACCCATGAAACTTAAAGTATAGTAGAGGTTAACAACTGTAAACAAACAAAACCATAATTACATGTTTTCTTAAGAGTTGTAATGGAAACAAAGAGAAAATATTAGGAGACAGGAGTTAAGTAGATAATGTGGACAAGGGAGTTGTCACTGAAGGACAACCTTTAACCTAAGCCCTGAGTATGGACCAACCACAAGAAGAACAAAGACACGAGTTTCCAAGCACAGGAATTCCGTACGTGACGTCCCAAGACAGGAAGAACTTGATACGTTTCAGGTACTTGCAGGATAAGGAGAGTCACCTGAGATGAAGTTGGAGAGGTTGACTGGGGCCAGCTCATGCAGAAACACAGGAAAAGGTTTTAATGTTTCTCTAAGTACAGTGGAAAATCATGACAGCATGTAAATAGAAGAGTGACATAACTTATATTTTAAGACTCTTGCAAGTCTGTAGAGAATGGATTATAGTGGGACAGGAGCAGAGACAGGGATAATAGGAAATAGGAAATAATTCTGGCAGTGCATACGTAGTCTGTGAGAGAGAAGAATCAAGGGTGATTCCAACTGGATGAGTATACAAAGAGGGGTCGGACAGCAGGGGTTACAAATCTGGGGGTGAGAATCAGGAGTTCAGTTGGAGAATCAGGTTAAGCTTGAGTTTGAGAGAGATCAGTGCTTGCTCTTGCTCTGAGCCCACATTAACAGAGGAGCTAAAGAACTAGGCTTAGAGCAGTATCTGGGTCCAGATCAGAGATTAGATGTCCTGACTGAAGAATGTGTATCTCATAATGTCTAGTACGTCTCTAATTTGAAATACAGATTTCCCACTGTCTGTTGTTCTTCTCTCCCTCTCCTTAGGACTGCTCTGAATGACAGCATGACTGAGCTCCAGGCTGCCCAGTCAGAACCCCACACTCCCTTGCAGCCACTTAAAAACACACACAGCAACCCAGCTTGCAAGGGGACAATCATCAGAAGCCTTTCTGTAGGGCCGGCCTGGTGGCGCACTGCTACAGTGCGCCGCTTGGGAGCGCGGCGGCACTCCCGCCGAGGGTTCGGATCCCACATACAGACCGGCCGCTCACTGGCTGAGCGAGGTACGGGCACAACACCGAGGGTTGCGATCCCGTCGCCGGTCCCGGTCCGGTACAGGCGCGACACTGAGGGTTGCGATCCGTTGCCGGTCACGAAAAAAGACAAAAAGGAAAAAAAAAAAAAAAAGCCTTTTTGTAACATTCAGACTGGGTTTAGTAGCCTATCCAGCTCTATTGCTTCCTTCCAACAAACTGAATGACCGGTTTTTCAGGCCTATTTATTTCTCAGGTAATCAATCTAGTCTGCTATCATCTAATCTCTCTGCCTCATTAAACACCAGCCTGATATTTCAGGGTTCCCTCCTCCATGCAGAGGAACTTGCTCCTAGCTTCTAACCCACATTAGTGATCTTCATCGACATCAAGCAAAGGAGACATTTAAAGACAAGTTTAGGTCATATTCAATTTGAAAGATCTAGGGGCCGGCCCGGTGGCGCACTGCTATAGTGCGCCGCTTGTGAGCGCGGCGGCGCTCCCACCGAGGGTTCGGATCCCACATACAGATCGGTTCCCGCTCACTGGCTGAGCGAGGTGCGGGCACAGCACCGAGGGTTGCGATCCGTTGCCAGACACGAAAAAAGACAAAAAGGAAAAAAAAAAAAAAAGAAAAAAGAAAGATCTAGAACTGTCACCATAATGCTAGGGGACCTAAAAGTTTGCCCCAAAAGGACAGAGGAGCCTGTTGGCTATGACACGACCCTACCTTTTATACTCTGTTCAACAGATTTGGAGGACACCTGGGTCACAGGAGACAAAGAAGGCTTCGAAGCCCAGAAAGGCAAGCCCATGTCCTGAAAGCTCCAGCAGAACTGTGAGCACCACAGTCTGGACAGAAGACAGAGGTCTCTCCCTGCACCCTGAGGTCTCCTGGCACAGCACATCCCCTAGGGCACCACTGACCCTAGCCAGAAAAGTCAAGCCACCAGCAGAGACAGTACAGCCCCAGCACATGAGAGGAGGAAAGAAGACCTTGTGCAGAGGCACCTCGTGCCTCCCATGGAAGCTGCCCTGCTGGCCTGTCAAGTTTGTGACCTCAGAATCCCGGCCCCTCCTCGATGATATACTTTAGCTGTACACTTGCCAGCCTGGCTGCCTGCCTATTTCTGTGAAATAAACAACTTTGTGGCTCCTGGTGGGCTTGGGGCTGTAAAAGATATAGGTCCATAACCAAGTAGAAGAGAGAAAAAAGTCTCTAAGAGAAAAAAAGTGAGAACTTTTATTTCAAATTAATTTTTTTAATTGTTAAAAATGTAGATATTTAAATTAAAAGGCTTTCCCCCCCAACAGTTACAAAATAAATTACAGTACTGCCACTCCATAAATTCTGAAGACTGAAACAATACTGAACTCTGCTTTTCATAATACATTTTGGGGGAGAAATGTTCAAAATTATAGAGTATAATTACAATTACGAAGAACATATACAACGCAATAGCAAAAACACTGTGAAAAATGCACCGCATTATTAATAACTGATACTACTGTTTGATGAGAAGTGGCATTTTTTTCCTTTTCTAATCATTCTGTATTTACCATTATTTTCCTAACAAATTTTCATTCCTATTGAGACATATTTTTACTTTTAAAATAAATTAGATAGGAATTCCTCTGCTTGCCAACTTGACCCCTGTTAAAATAGAGGTAATTGATACCTATATTTTCAAATTACTGTCAACAAAAGGTTAGTTATGCTACTTTACGCAAAATATTGTTTCTGTGAATTAAATTTAACCAAGTCCAGAACTGAACTTGTGGTCAGAACACTGAGATAAACTTTTCCTACTTTTTGAGATAACTGTAGATTCACATTCAGTTGTAATAAATAATACAGAGAGATCTCATATACCTGTCCCCCAGTTTCCCCAAAGGTAAAATGTCTTATGTAACTCCAGTACGATATCACACTGAGAAAACTGACTTTGATAAAATCCATAGATCTTACTCAGATTTTATCAGTTTTATGTGCATTCATGTATGTGAATATGTGTGTGTGTGTATTTAGTTCTATGCAATTCTAGCTCATGTGCACCACTCTCTATGGAACCCCCACACAGTTCCATGTCTGATGCTACCCTTTTATTACCACAGCCACTTCCCTTTCCTGTTCCCCAATTCCTGACAATGGTGATCAACTTTTGGCCAATAAGCAATTACTGATCCCGTATGCACAGATCGCTCACAGTAATTGACTGAATCAAATAAACAGTGTAGTCTAGTGGTTAGGAATGCAGGCGGGAACTAGACTAATTGGGGGTTCAAATCTTGGGTAGCCACTTTGTGACCTTTGGCAAAGGATTGAAGCTCTTGATGCCACAGTTTCTTCTTTAATAAAATGGGGCTAATGATAGAACTTCATTGGGTTGTCATGAGAATTCAATGAGTTGATATTTGTAAAGCAAGTAGAAGAGAAGTATGTTACCATCTAAGAACTGAACTCACAATCCAGTGGAGAACACACAAAACTCTGTTAAGGGATGTAAAATAAATGTAAACACAGTACCATGGAGGACATGGCGGAGACAGTTAATTGTGGCTGTGGAAGGCTGAGACAGGTACAGGAAAGAGAATATTTGGGTTGGGCTTTGAAGTATGGGTAAGACTTTGACAGAAATAAAAGGAAAGGAAAGATGCCCTGAGGTATGAGAAGACACAGGCCATTCTGAAGGAGGAACGGGGAAGGGGCAGAAGCCACCATGAAGTCTGAGTGAAGGGTGGGGCCAGGTTTTGAGGGGACCTTGAAAGCCAGGCCATCATTAGCACTACAGCTTTGCAATCTGGGAGAAGGCTAGAACAGAAAGAAAAACATGCCTGCAAAACACAGGCACCTCAGGAGGAGAGAATTAGAATGGATGTGAAAGTACTTTCTAACTTACAAAACACAAGCAATGACGATTTATTATAAACCCTAGCAGCAGCAGCAACATGTTTTAAACAAGGTCACCATTCTTGTGAGAATAAAATAAAACCTTGAGTGTTTGGGGCAAGGGCATTAGCAATTATTATGCTGAATCACGCCAGAACCTGTCTGCGTCCTGCCAGGGCAGTTTGCACTTCAGCCAGGTGCTTGCAATACTCTTCACTGGCAGCCTCCAACCACCCTTTCCTGGGGTTTCCAAAGACTTTGGCAGCCCCCAATGTGTCTCCCTGTCCCTGGCACCACCAGCTTTGTCATCTTGGGTGCAGAGTGTTTATCTGATCATCTGGTCACTGGCCTTCATCCGGCTCAGGAAGTCCTGGTCCCTGAGCACGTGCCTGGCGCCATCTGCCCGGTCCCCTCTGGGCCTCCACAGCGCTTCTCTCCCTGGGTGTTTCCTGGGCCCCTGGCCTCCGTGGTGGCTATGACTACGCTCCCCCTCTCAGGAAGTCCTGGTCCCTGAGCACGTGCCTGGCGCCATCTGCCCGGTCCCCTCTGGGCCTCCACAGCACTTCTCTCCCTGGGTGTTTCCTGGGCCCCTGGCCTCCGTGGTGGCTATGACTACGCTCCCCCAGCCGGGGCCTGTGCAGATTTCTGCCTGTCTTTCACATGGATTCTTGCCTCTCTGCTCCCAGGGCTTCCAATGACCTGCTGCTGCTTACGCTCAGGTGTGGCATTCAGAACAGGAACAAATGACCTGTGGTTTCCTTTAAAAAGACTCTCAATGAGCCATCTTCTTCTGGTTATTTTTCCCATCATAGAGAGCTCGGGAAGAAAGACAAAGAATGCTGATTTCATTTGCTTAATCTAGTTATATGGTTAACTCTACAAAGACTGAAAAAAATGATGGATTGCATTTCTCAGCAACAGACACGTTTCTTTTTGTTCGGTCATTCTCACATTGTGAGAAGAAAAAGACATTGGAACAAATGGCTCTTCATAAGTGAGTGGTGATGGTGGTTTATAGTTTGGCTTTGAAAACTAAGAAACTAAAAAAAAGTTAAAAAAAAAAAAAAAAAGAACCCTTCCCTTCCCTCTAAACAAAGTTGAGTATATCAACTAGTCAGATCATGAAGGTGAAATTGACTTAGAAATAAATATCCCCACGTATCCCTGAAATAATACCTTGTGGTCCCCCACATAACTGAGCAGTTTCTCTTTTCTACCCGGTTTTTTCACTTCCATGACAACACTCCTGCACTTGAAGTTGACCCGTGGAAGATATGACTGAACACACAACACTTTCCCGACAAAACACATCAAGACATTCTTACATGCCTGCGTGTGTCCTTAGATGAAATTCGCTAACAGCCATTAAATCAAAAATCATGTAGATAAACAAAATACTCAACTATATAATGTTAAAAAAAAAGTTGCACGACAGCAAGCCAAAATGATCGAGAATGAGAGAAAAAAACTTGAATTTTTCTAATTTCATAGCCCAAGTACGACAAAGCCAATTATGTGTTTAGAAAAATGTCAATATTTTCAATTCCCAAAGTCCCTATGCAAACCTTCGTAGACAATTAGACGCTGTTTCTTTCAAAGTTTGGCGTGAGGGTGTTATCCAGTCTATGGGCGATTCGATTTGCTTTTCTGATCTTCACACTGGCAGAGGGCAGCCAGCCAGTGAGAGGAAATACAGCATAGAGGATAACAGAGAAGGATGATTTATTTTTAATTTAAGGTGATAGGATAATCTATTAAGAAATTAATTGTGCCCTGCGTCTCGCTGCAGCAGACACCTGGGGAAAGGACAAAGGGTCATCTCCTTTCCCCACAGTCTCACCACCCACAGCCCCCACTCCCGTCCCCAGAATACTTTTAATTAACTTGTTTTGAAAAGTCTGAGTGTCTAAAACTCTGACATGTATAAAAATCACCTGAGGAGCTTGATAAAATGTATATGTCTGGATCCTTCCCTGGACCTACCAATTAAAGTTTCTGGGGCTGGGGCTTAGGAAGCCACATTTTAAACAAGTTTCATATGAAATTCTGCTCCAGGGGGTTTTAAGAACACTCTTTGAAAAACATTAGGTCAAAAGGGACAAAAAAACCTGGAATACCTGGGTGTGGGTTGCAGGGTTGCTAAGGCTTCAGAAGAAAGGGCTGGACCTTGGAAGGCTCTTATCCCAAGTTAGGGAGCTCAAGGTTTAACCCGCCAGTCAGGGGCCACTATCACGTTTTAAGCAGGGCTGTGACATGGTTAAGCTTTGCAGCTCTTAGCTCATGTGTCACCCTCTCCAAGAAGCCTCCATCCTTGTCCAGGATAGTTTCCTGCTGCTCCGTGCCTCATACTAGCCTATGCGTACCTCTAGCTCACCACTGACCACACTGTGTCAACACTGTGTTACTGCTACTGTTCTAATCTCTCCTCCACCATCAGTTTTTGTGGGCAAGGAAGTAACTTGCCCCACGGCGCCTGGCATCCAGTAGGTGCCCTCAGATTGATCAAGTGAACTATTGTGTTCTGTTTATAACCACGTCGGGACCAAATGGCCCTGTCCCCCCACTCCTAGTTTACAGGGCCTAGAATGCTTCATTTCTAGCAGAGAGACTGGACCCTATTTATAAACCCCTCATTTAACCCGAGGATATGTGTATCATAGAGTCAGAATGAAACGTCAGATGCCTGAAGTTTTGATCATATTGCTATGAAGTTGTTTACACTATTATGTTTCAGAAGGAAGTAAAGCTCTCACAACCCTCCAAAGTCCACATGTGTAGGTCAAGTCCCTCAAAGCAGTTTAAGGCACAGGAAAAGGCACCACCAGGTGATTACAGCATGAAATCAGGTGGTGTCCAGAGTCTTAATTCTAAAAGCAAAACACCTGGCTTCTGTTCGGCGCCTCGGGCCCCCGCAGCACCTGTTTCAGCCTGGCCAGCTCCCCCACTCCTCACCCCTACCCACTTGGGGGCAAAAGGAAGAAAGACGCAATAAGAATTTTAAAAATCTGATTTTTTAAAAATATGAAGGCAAGAAATATTTCACTAACGAGGGATCATAAAGATCCACCCCCGTGAGCATTGCCCCAAGAGAGTCACTACCATTCTCAGAGAATAAGACATGAAGTGGGTGGAAGCCCTCACCACGCCGTGCCCAGCCGGGTGCCTCCCCGTGTACTTGCGAGCCTCCTGCGTTCTCGCGCAGTGGCGCCCCATCCGACCGGTGTGCGCCTCTTCCAGATGACCTCGTGTCACGGCTTCTGCCCCTGAGCGCAGCTCTGTGCACTAAGCCCCTCACTAATCCTGAGGCTTGGAGAGACCCCAGTGAGCAGACAGAGGGAAGACGGGCCACGCAGCAGTGGGCTCCCTGGCTAAGCGGCTCCAGAAGTCGCCCTGAAGCCACGACCAAGTCCATTACCAAGTGCGCCCTAGGGCGGGGGTGCGCCCGGGGCTGCCCCAAGCCCTTCCAGGGACCCCCGGCAGTCTTGCTCCCCCGTCCCCTCTCGCTGCAGCCCCCGCCGAGGACAGGGGCCGGGCGGAGACCCACACCTGGCCCTGGCCGCGGGGGAGGGGAGCGGCCGCCCGTGCGCCCTGCGTGCCCCCGGGGGCGGG